CAATCGACAAAGAAAGAGATGGAAAAGCAGAGCAGCTTGTTAAATGCGTTGGACGTTGGAAAGATAGAGAACAACATGTGGTGTCTGGACAGCGGAGCAACAAGCCATATGTGTTGCGATAAGACGTTATTTTCAAAATTTATTGCGCACACTGAAATGATCGGTTTAGCTGACGCTGGTTTCCTGAAGGCCGAAGGCAGAGGAGAGGTGAAGTTACAGACAGAACTTTGTACCTTGGTGTTGTCAGATGTACTGTATGTACCGAAAATGAATGGCAACTTTATGTCCGTCAGCCGGTCAGTGCAAAAGAACAATGTTATACATTTTGGGCCACATTTTGCTAAAGTTATACAAAACGGCGAGTGTATACTGAAAGCGAATAAAGTTGGGAACCTTTATATGTTTCAAGGCAAACAAAATAGGTGTTATTCCGCAACTGAATCAGATGGTACATTGTGGCATAAGCGTTATGGCCATTTAAATTTTACCAGTCTGAAGGAAGTGATCAGCAAAGAGCTAGTGCGTGGTATTGGAAAGGTTGTTTTCCCAGACAACTTGAATTGCAAAACGTGTATGCTAAGCAAAATACATGTACAGCCATTCCCAAAGGTAAGCACTAACCGTGCCGAAGAGCTGTTGGAACTGGTTCATGCTGATGTATGCGGCCCATTCGACACGAAGTCACTTGCTGGATCCAAATACTTTCTGACCTTCATCGATGACAAGTCCAGGCGTATATTTGTTTATTTTTTGCGGAAGAAAGATGAAGTGTTCAGTAAGTTCGTCGAATTTAAAAACTTGGTTGAACGGCAAACAGATAAAAAGCTCAAATGTATTCGAACCGACAATGGAGGCGAGTTTGTCAACACAACATTCAACGGTTTCCTGAAACACCATGGTATTGCAAGGCAATTGACCGTGGCTTATACTCCGCAGCAGAACGGCGTGGCGGAAAGAGCAAACCGGACATTAACGGAGATGTCCAGATGCTTATTGGTGCAGTCGGGCCTAGGCGAGTCTTTGTGGGCCGAAGCAGTCAACACAGCAGTATACATAAGAAACAGATCACCTACCAGTGCACTGAACAACCTGACTCCAATGGAAGCGTGGACAGGTAAGAAACCCTGTGTTAGCCATCTAAAAGTTTTTGGTTCCATTGCAGTTGCACTTGCAAAGGGTCCCCGTAAAGGCAAATTCAAACCCAAAGGGCATGAGTACCGTATGGTTGGGTATTCGGTAGCAGCCAAAGGCTATCGGTTATACGACCCAGAGACGAGGACGATTGTCGAAAAACGAGACATTCTATTTGATGAGCGTTGTGGTGGTCATACCAATGAAGATACCGTTACGGTAGATTTTCCTGCATGCGAGGTTCAAGAGCATGTCACTCACACGGATGGTGACAGAAGCATCGACGACGATGACAGTGAGCACAGTTCTGACGACAGCAGCTCCAACGCATATGAGAGTGCAGTCGAAAAAGAAGACTCTGACGAGGATACTGTGAAGATTGGGCCAGGCCGGCCTAAAATTGTTCGAAATGGTAAACCTGGTCGTCCAAGAAAGCAATACAATGTGCTTGGAGCATTGGTTGCTAGTGACGTAATGGTTCCGACATCCTATGATCAGGCCGTTGGTAGCACACATGCAGTATTCTGGCAAGAGGCGATGCAAAAGGAATATCAGGCACTACAATCAAACGAAACCTGGCAGATGGCTGATTTACCAAAAGATCAGCGAGCAGTTGGTTGCAAGTGGGTATACAGCCTGAAACGTGACTCTGATGGAAAAGTCGAACGTTTCAAGGCACGACTCGTTGCTAAAGGGTGCTCCCAGAAGTATGGCGTGAACTATGTAGAGACGTTCTCACCCGTTTGCAGATTGGAAACCGTGCGGTTTATTTTGGCGTTAGCAGCGGAATTGAAGCTGTACCTTCACCAGATAGATGTGTGTACCGCCTATTTGAATAGCGACCTGCATGAAACTGTTTATATGAAGCAGCCACAGGGATACACAGATCCCAATAATCCAAGTAAGGCTTTATTGCTTAAAAAGGCAATATATGGATTGAAGCAGTCGGGGCGCGAGTGGAACTCCAAGCTCGATTGTGTACTACAAGGCATAGATTTTGTAGCATGTGAAAATGAACCGTGTCTTTACAAAAGGAACGGAAGAGGTGACTTATCATTAATCCTTGTTTATGTTGATGATATAATTATAGCATGCCGATCAAAAGAGGACTTGGCCAACATCAAGTCAGCCATTACAACATCGTTTGAATGTGTTGACAAGGGAGAGCTGCATTTGTTCCTTGGCATGGAAGTGCAGCGCGACGGTGAGCTTGGCGAAATTTCGCTAAGCAATTCGCAATACATCAAAGACATATTGCGTGAACATGGATGCGAGACCTGTAGACCTACAGCGACCCCACTGGATGCTGGTTTCCAAGTGATATGTACCAGCGAGCATTGTCAAAAGGTTGACATTGCATCCTACCAGTCTTCAATTGGCGAGTTAATGTGGCTGGCGCTTACAACAAGGCCAGACATATTGCATTCCGTTGCCAAGTTAGCTCAACGGAATCAAGATCCGCATGCAGAGCACCTAGTGGGTGTAAAACATGTGCTTCGATACCTGGCGTCAACTGTGGACCTGAAGTTGCACTACAAAGAGTGTGGACAACCCCTTACCGGCTATGTGGATGCAGACTGGGGTGGCGACCGCATCGATCGCAAGTCGTATACTGGCTATGTATACTACTTGGCTGGAGGACCCATATCCTGGCGATCTGAAAAGCAACGCAGCGTGGCACTTAGCAGCACGGAGGCGGAGTATATGGCTCTTTCAACTGCGTGTAAGGAGGCCATATACCTACGGCGTCTTATAGTGGAGATTGGCTGCGGTGACTCGAGTACTCCAACTATTCTTCATGGCGATAATTTAAGTGCTCAACAATTAGCTAAGAATCCTGTACACCATGAAAGAACAAAGCATATTGATATTAGATATCATTTTGCAAGACAGGTTGTAAACGAAGAACAAATTGTTTTACAGTATACATCAACCAATGAAATGATAGCTGATATTTTAACGAAAAATCTCCCTAAAGCGAAGCATGTTCATTTTACAAAGCTGTTAAATTTGATTTGAAAATTTTTGTAAAACATGTTTGCATTGAGGAAGGGTGTTGAAAATCAATACAAACATAAGTACCAATGCACGCATGTTAATATAAGCAGATAATAATCTTATGTTATCTACAAGTTATCTGTCACTGTTGCATACGAATGTAAGCATAAAGAATATGTATAGCAAAAGTGTCAGTCTCCAATAAAACTCTAAAGCGAACAGACGCACGGCGGTCCGCGACTATTGTCTTTTACTTTACTCCTACTGAGCCCTTCCCTTTTCAGCGAATATATAATCTATTCAATAGCATGCACATAAGCATCCAGCTTCACCTCCCACTCCTTCCCCTCCCCTCTTCCCCCTTCTCACGACAAACCGCTCCACAGCACTATAGCATGTTGTTGCGGCAACTTCGCGGAAATGCTGCGATTTATTTGTATTTTTAACGCACATGTGTGTGGACTCGTATGTTGTGAGGGGTGTGGGTGTATGGGTGTATGAGTGCCTGTGTTTATTTTTTATTTGCAGCCAATTGATTTGACTGTTTGTGATGGCAAGAGGGGGGCTAGCGGGCAGAGGGGGTGTGCCGTTGAATTGTTTTTGTGCGTATGACGCATAAAAATGTATCATCATATGAGCATTGCCAAAGCTTGATGCACGACGACGACATCGCTGTGGCACTCTTTATGCGTTTTTTATGTCCGCCACACACACACACACACACATACACACTCATGTGGCTGGCACATGAAAATACGGAAATGGTTGCAATTAAAGAGCAAATAATGGCAGCTCCTATAATGAATTAGTCGAAGTATCAACATACCGCTGCGGCGAATGACAAGAAAAGCGCTTTAGAAGCGCATACAAAGGCGTTCAAATCTTTTATTGCGAAACAATTGTGGTCGAGGCTTTATCTGCAGACTTTTCTATCAAATTTCTTAAAGTAGTTGATTGTGGAGGAATGTGTGTACATTTTTTGACACGTTTCTTAATTATATTTCCAACTGATAAAGAGAGTTGTGTTTATAAACATCAATTGTATATTTTTGTATTTTTTTTTTTTTAATAAACCTTCATTCTTTATTTAAGATCTAAGGAGGACAATTATTAAATTTTATGGTAGCATTGGATTGTATATGATTTTAAATTAATTAGATATGTAATATAAATTAATTTACATTTATTACTTGCGCTACAAAAACTCTTTCTGTAGAATAGGAATAAGATGACTTGCAGATGTTTATGTCGAATGAGAAGCGAGTACTGACTGCTAATTTATAGATTTGTTACGAAGAAAAGGGCGAAAGAGGACACTCACTTTTAAAGTGAAGTTCAACTGACATATTCTGTAAAACTTTGGATTAAGCTAATTAGTAGAAATATTACTCCCCCAGTTTAGCTTCCATTACTCAGCGCTAGGGAAAGAGACATGACAGTGTCGAGAACCACCCTCACTCGGAAAAAGCCGGCGCATTACTAGCAGAGATATCTTTAGAAAGCCAGTTAGTTATTTAAATCGTATACCTATTTACATAAGTAAATATGGCAACAATGTATGGTATGCCATTTCTGTACTATTTGAAAAGGTAAAGCCGAATTTTATAAAATGTTTCTAATTAAAAAAAAATTTATTTATATCTTTTGCCATTTTTGTACGTACTATTTAAAAAGGTAAAGCCGATGATATATCATTAGGCCTTCTTTAAAATTGTTTGATTGCTTTGAAAGCCCTTTTGCTTTACTTTCTCTGTCTTTCCACTTACTTCACATTGCTCATATATTTTTTTTAAATTTTCATAAATCACATCCAAATTCTACAATCTAGTAGTCCTATTTTGGCTTTGTAGTAGGCACTGTAATTGCTCTCTTCGCAATCCTTTCAGAACTTTCGCATTCGAAACGTATCTCCGCACGAGACACACAGCACACAAATAACTAAAAAAATATTTCTCACTTTTGTAAGAACACTGAAATACTTTTCTAATTCGCTTTACTATAAGTTTTCAACTTCCTTGAACATGGTGTAAGTTTAGCCTGACGTTGCTTTTAAGAATTTCAAATTGTAACTTCTCTCTACTGGCCAATCAACAGTTTCGCCAGCTGGTTTAACACACAGAAGGAAACTTTTATCGTTGGCTTCCGCGACTGCAAGTCCCGTCTCCTGCTGGCCTTCGCCGATTTGGATGCAAAGGGTGCACGCTTTTCCAAGTGCCTGGGACTTGAAGATGGCCGGAACGATGAGTTCCTTCAGTTTCTAACCGAACAATCTTAGAAATTCCCAGTGCTTTATAGGGGTTTTGATAGTATTTTTATACTATATAGGGGGAAATAAATAAAGCTTTATCGGCCAATGGCGTGCAAGTGCACGGAAATTGCTTTACTCTTTTTTGTTTTTTGTTTACATTTTCAGGAAAATAGCTTTTAAAAAATGCATTTTGTCTATCCGGCGCGACGTGTTTTTATGGACATTTTTGCTGCTTTTTGTGTTCTGCATATTCGTTGTTGTTGTTGTTGTTGGTTAGTGAAATATCTCAATTATGCATTGGGATGGAGAGCCGCACACACACACATATAGACAGAAGGACATACAAGTGAACACGCTTAGCCTTTTATTACATTGGGGAAATGATTTTGTTCTTCTTGTTATTATTGAAGTGGCTGTTTGTTTTTGTTGTTGCCGCTGCCGTGTGCTCTGTTCCATGTGAATGCCGTGTTGCTCGCTCAACGGTGACAACGAATCAACCGCATAAAAAAATACGAACATTTTCCACAATTCTGGCGGCGAGCGCGACCGAAAAGTCCATTGCGCGTTTTGAGACCAACCGCAGATGACGAAAAACGAAAAAAAAAACAACAACAACGAGGATGTCGAAAAATTGTTGAAAAATGACATTAATTTTAATGCCTCCCTGACTGCCTGCCTGCCCGCCTGAAAACAAAACAAAAACAAAAGCCCCACAATTTGCCAAAGGTAGAAAGAACTGAATACATAAAGAAGAAGAGGGAATAGGGGGGAAAACTGTCATTTTTTAATTAAAAATATTTCTCACTCGGCAACGCTTTTGAGTCGTCGTCATTGCATCATTTTGCATTAATTTCGACAACGAATTTTTGAAAGCTATTCACCAAAAATTTAAAATAAAAAAAAGAGGAAATAATATGCACATTTTTATTGACGCCTTTGGGCAAACCCTTCCAGGAACTGTCTGCCACCAATGCGTCCTCCACACAACACGTCACTTCAACTGTCAATTACACTTACACGGGTCTGGCAGGGTTGCCAGCCACTCCCGATTCTGCATATCAAACTCATTTTTATGTGCATGCATGCGAAATTTTCGATGTCTTCGTTTCATTCGAGTATTCTTTTATTTCCCTTAACTCTGCTGCTCCCTTTTCAGCATTTCATTAACATTTAAATTTGGTTTTGCCGCGCTCCACCAACTCGGCTGCAATTGACAGTTGCTTTGTTTTGTTCGCAAAATTTTGATGGGAAATATTTCTTATTTCCACTCGGGCACAAGTCGGGCTGAAGTCGAGCTGCCGTGTTTATGACATTCAATAATCGATTGTTTCTAGCTGCTGCTGCCTCTGCTGCTGCTCTTGCTTAGCATTTTTATTGAGTGGCATTTGTGTGTGTGTGTGTATGTGTGTTGTTCTGGGCGGTCAACCATTTTTGTTATTGATGACCCATTATTATTGCTGCAGCAAATTGTTTATTGCTTATCGAAGTGAAATATTGTGAGCTCGCTATTTGCATATGCGCTGATTGTTCAAATCAAGTGCTTGTTGAAGTCAACCTATCTTCCATATATATTTACGAGTGGAAGTACATTCATAAATTCAATTATGTGTACACTTGTGTGCTTAAATACGATTTTGTTTTTGAAAATCAAGATTTTAATTCAAAGTTAGTGGAGCTGATGAACAAGAGTTGAAGATTTTAATTTACTGAAGACTGCTTTGCTTATAACTCATCTACATCTACGGATCGAATAACCATTGTTGATCATCAACTGCGAAGCTTTGCAGATTTGAAACAAAATTCGAAACTGCTTCTAACTAGTAGTGAGTGAGTTTCCAATTAAATAGCGCAAAAATTGGTAGAACGAATGTAGTAATTGCTTGGTCTTGCTCTAAATTGAAATTTCTCGCCTATTTTATTATTAAAGCATGACATTTTTTGCATCGCAGCCATATCTGTGATTCTTATGGTTATTTATCATTGAAAATCACCAAACTAGGTTATATTTAATCTATTTCTGTTGCTTTTATATTTTTCAATACAATTCTACAACTCAGATTTTTTACACGTATCTTAAATCTTGCACTTTTTCAAACATTGTTCCTCCGTTGAAAACCAATTGTCATTCCGAAGACAGCCTTTATACTCCCAGGAGATGCACTTCTTAGTCGCGGAATCATAAGACCATCCAGTTTCCTTTATCCTTACAACTAGCGGACAACCAAAGCCTTGCTGTTTTGCCGGCAATAAGCAAACACCTGTTTAAATTAAAATTAGCTGTTTTGTCAACCTTCTGTAATGGCCTCTTACGATTCGGGTGGCCAATCGAAATTCCAAGCACTGAAAATAAAATACAGAAGACTCCCACATACTTCATTTCTTCTACTATGTCGAAATAAAAATATTCGTATGCCACGGCTATTTGTATTTGTATAATCTAGTCCCGCTAAATTAAAATGAATTTGGCATGGCAGGCAAATATTTGAATTTCATGGGACAAATGAAATAATCGTGTTACTTGGATATTGGTATTAGAGATATACTCGTATATAAGTTGATAGCTTCGAATACAACTCAAAAACTATTATCGTTCGAAAAAGTATAAAAATTGTGTCTGCTTGCAATTTGTAGACCACATTTGACTTAATTGGCAATATATTCAGTAAAAGCACTAAACATTAGGTCTCACCTAAATGACGAATTGGAAAAATTGAGCTAAAGAAATGCAACAAACGAAAGGAGAAGAACCTTCGAGGTTTTATTCATGAATATTTAAAAAAATTCAGTTACTACTAAATGTCATAATTTTTTACCAGAAGAAATAAATACGTTTCAGCCCTCCAATCTATAGTTTAGTTACAATTTGTTCAGTTCTGTGGCCTTCAATTTCTTTAAAGATTGTTTTGAAAACTGTAAATGTCATGTCTAGAAAACTGACATAAGCAAGCTGTTGCTCAAGTAGAGCTGTTTTTTTTTTTTTTTTACAGGAAATTACACACAATAGTAGTTGAAAAAATTGTCGTTCTTTTTGGAGCAGCAAAATGCTATCCACCGGCATAATACTTTCCCAATTGCCGAAAATGAAATTGTTCATCCGTATGATTGGCAAGAGGAGAGGTAATCCGTTCAAAAAGGATAAACCATTGCAGAAGATACCTCTAATGCCTTTAAGGGGACCGCGCAATTTTGATTACTGGCGGCACCTAAAGCGCAAAAATCAGCAGACAAAAAGAGGAAGGCATGCTGTGGAGAGAAAAGGAAAGCCGCAACGCAAAGATATACGCCTGCCCAAAAAAAAGGACGAGAAGTCACCCCAAGAAACATTTGATTAGATCAAACAGACCTTCAGATCGTTCTGAGCTTAGATTGGAAACTTTACAGTGCTTATCGATATAAAATATGCAGAATATATAGTCTTATTTAAATTCGAAATATTAAGTAAATAATTTCATTCACAATCCATTCTTATAATTGTTTCTCGTAATTTATTTTATAACTGACAACAATTGACGAGCGATGATAGGTGCTGAATGGCAGCCACTTTCTAATGTAAACACGAATTTTTGGCAATTATTGTAAATACATAATAATACGACTCTTAGCAATGAAAATAATTTCTCGGCTGCTCAACCATCAATAATATTTCATTCTCTATTTAATTGCAGAGTCCACAAAGGGCATAGTGTCGAACGGGTAAGCAAATAAGTAGAAATAAACAAAAACGAACCATAATTCCGTTTCCAATTAACTTTGCCTTGAATTCTGACGCAATGTTTATTGCATTTAATTTTGCTGCGGAAATAAGCTTTAAAGCTTTAACAAGCACTGCACATCATATTCCCACCTCCCACCTCCCTGTCCCCTTGGACGGCCTCTTTATTCGGTCGGCCAGCTGCCTAGTTATGCAAACAACATGACAATGACGCGCAGCGGGAAAAAACGAGCCAAACATGCGAATGCAATTTATTTTATGGCACAAAGTATGGGTGAGAGTGGATAAAAAATGCATTTTCATTGCAAAATCATAGCCATGAAAATCTAGCACACGAAGCCAGCCAGCAGGATTTATATGGCATTCATTATGCTGCGCAAAATGAGGATTTCACTATTTTCTCTGTTTTTGGTAGTATTCATCGAATTTGTTGTGCAACCGAAATTTTTTATTAAGCTATTTACACAGTTTGAGGGGCTTTACGTTTTTTGTGCACCTGCCACCAGTGTTGCCCGGAATTTATGCCGAATATATAGAGAGAGGCGATACGATGCGATAAACTCGCCAGGGAGGAAGAAAGAAAAACAAGGTAAGCCCTCCATTGAATGGCAGCTGCATGGGGATACAATTTTGACCATTTTATATGCGCTTTTAATCCAATGGCCCATAATAATTTGTGCAAATTTATTTGGCAGTGCTTAGCCATGCCGGGGCAGTCACAGAGCTCCCACACAGCGCGCACACATCCTGAATGCCCTTTGCATGTGTGACACACATCAAGCATACGCCACCGAAACGCCCCCACCCCACCTATTTATATGCACGGGTGTGCGTGTGTGGGTGTGGGTGGCATACTGAAATGTGCCCTTGTGGCCACTGGCAGATAGCGTGGAAATAAAATAAATTGCAATAAATAACTTTCGCCCGGGCAATAAATCTCGGTTAAATGGACATTTGCATCTTCAAATCGTCAGCACAAAGACAACAACAATGGCAACGTGCTCAGTTTTTATGCCCTGCTGCTGGTACTTCAAACTATATAGAACATGATAAAAATGTCGACGGACACACAGCAACTACAAAAACCACAGAAAAATAAAAACGACATTGAGGAAGAAACCAAGAAAAAGATAACAGCCAAGGTCGTGCGATTTGCGGCTGACAGGAAAAACCAAGTAGTGGACAAACGTGGCCGGACCACTGCGATCCCTACAACCTTTGCTCGCTCTTGACTCACTTTTTCTCGTTAGCCAGCCACCCACACACACAACGTTTAGTGGACAGTCAGACGAGCCTGTCCTTCTCTCAAAAGTATCACAGCTCGCTCGCTTAAAGCCTTGAGGACACAGCAGCTTATCTACTTCGCTTTCGCTGTCGCTGCCTACTTGGACGACGCTTAGAGGGTGCAAAGTATTTCGCACAAAACCGGCTGATTGGTTAGTAGAACTTTTCAAAGTACATCTTTTTATGGGGAAGCTTTATAAAACAGAGTGGAACTTGTATAGAAGCTCTAACAATTATTCTTTCTAATCATACAAAAGTCTCAATGCTTTGCACATCATGCATTTCTGAGGTTATAACGGCTGTAAAAATTAGCCATAGAATAAATAAAAATATAATTTGTTTTGCACATATATACCCTAGTTTTGGTGAACTTGTTGTCTGGCATTCAGAAATTAGAATACCAACATTTCGTTCACGCGATTTATCTTTATTTCTATTTCTATCAGATCATATAAATATTCGCTTTCGATATTGGAGTTTCTTTTATTGTAAACTGCTCACTAGATTTTCATATCAGATTATACTTCAATTGCGCCCAACTGTGTACCTCAATCAATCCTTTAGCTAAATATTCAGTTGCTGCATCCAATAACTATTTGGCATGCATATTTTTTGAGGTTTAAAAAGAAGTGGATCATAGATCTTTGAATGAAGTGCCAAAATATATTCAACATAATTTGTTTAAGAATTCAAAAGCTTTGGGTGAATACTTGCAATAATTTAAAGAGGTTGATTTACGAGTTCTTATACTTGTATTCCTATTTGGTATCTAAGGTATACATTAATAAGATTAATCCAATAATTTTTATTTATCTACAGATCTTATTATGCACCAAAGCTGATCTTGACTTATTATAATTTAATTAGGATGAAATAAGCCACTTTCATTTTAAGCAGCTTTTTCTATGAACTACAAAATCGAAGCATATTTTAGATATCTACATATTTGCTTACGTAAGCAACCTATTTAGACTTTGTAGCAAAAAAAGATAGTGTATTTCATTTCCATTGCTTTAAAAACTAACGATAAACACGGCTCTTATAATTAATTTAAATGTAAAATTTTTCTTCTATTTCTAGTGTGTGAAAAGCTACTTTATTTCTATTAAAATACAACACTCATAACAAATTCAAAAAGCCTCATAGTAATCCATAGCGCTCAGTCAATTATTCCATAATCCAAATGTTTAGTGGTTGCTATTGTATTTGACATTAATTTGTCCAATTAAGTTAAATTGCTTAACCATCTTTAAGCGTGTTTTCAGCTGCATTTTGATTGCAGCAATTTGTAGCAGACCTTCAGGAATTTAGTTTATTTTACGATTTGTGCATATGGATGGTAAATCCGATTTGCCCATCTAACGACATGCCAATTCAATTTGAAAATAATAAAAATATCTATTCAGAAGTCGGGCGAATGCATCCGCGTCCGTGACTTTATTCGCGCCACCATCAGGCAGACGCCTGTTGATTATGATTATGATTCTGATTATGACTTCAGTAGCGCTGCCGTCGATGTTACCGACGGCGTCATCAACGTCGTGTTTTGATGTCGTTACCAGACATTGAACCGCATTAAATTCTGCATAAATACACATTGCCTCGACGACGCCATCTCGTCAACACACATCCGTACATATGGTCCCTTGGCGGGATCGGGCGTCAGGGGTCAGGGTTCTGGGTTCTGGGAGTAACCAGCAGCGCATGCAATTTTATGCAGACATTTCAACTTACATGACGATTTTATCGTCGAGTGTACGGTACACATAAATACATATGTGTGTAAGTATAGTTTACAGTTCAGCTCAGTGCTTGCAGATAGTAGATAGCATTATTGCACACCCAGAGACAGACATACGCGCACACACGCACACCCGATGATGCTCTTAAAATATTTGCATAAAAAAATACATACGTCGGATATATTGTGGAGAATGGTAAATGGTCTAGAAGCTCTGCCATGTCTGCACTTTACGCTGCACGCCTTGCAGTTCGTGTCGCCATTAACAACAACGTCGTAATCAACACATACTTAAGTCTGCCCCGGGGCTTGCTTGCTCTCTAGCACAGATTGAAGTTTCTGTCCTGGTGCTGGGTGGTGCTGGCTCCTGGGTGCTGGGTGGTGCTGGATGGTGGTTGGATACAGTTGCGTTTCAAAAGTGCACTTGGCATAGCCACATATGCGGATTCTAATCTACGCAAATTTAGTCACTACTTGCGAGCGAAAATTAAAATCGCATTAATTTCACGCTGTCGTACTTTGAATGTAAATTACATTTTAATGTATTTCCCTATTGCTTTGCATTAGATACACCGCCCTCCACTACTATACTTGTATTTATGAAGATAGATGGAACTGGCAATAATGCATGCAATTTCGAATGCGATAAAACAAAATGGGAAAATGCTACGAAAAATGGCAAATGGTTCTGTCGTGTCTTAAAGTAAGAGGCACATCTAGATGGGCATACAGCTGACTAGAGAAAGTTCTTCTCTATGGCATTCTATATGCTAACTAGAGACTATAAAAGTAAATGGCAGGAGGTACGAGTCGTAGTTCAAAAGGGGGGAATAATAGAGACTTCATATTCGTTACCTTTTTACATTTTGCGCATATCAATATTTTTTTTTTATTAATGTGAAATAGTTGTTTTAATGCAAGTAAGTCTAGTCTAGTAGCAGATTATTAATAGCTGGGCAGAAATGGTTCTATTTCAATGTTTGTTCAAACGAGCCGCCAATAGTGTCCTAATGAAATAAAGCAAATTTATTTTTTGGCTTTGGTCGTTTAGTAATACCTGACACACTCATCTGGTTTTCTTTTAATTGAGAGATGTGAATTAGTCAATATTTTACATCTCATCGAATAAAGTACACATACAATATTTCATACAAGTTTGGTAAATACTACTTGTATAGTTGGTGTTTGGAAAGCGCAGTCCCATTCATTATTTTTAATCATATATTTATTACATAAAAATCTGCCTAATCTACATTAATTATTTATATTTATATTAAGCGCTAATTATTACATTACATTTATTATTTATGTTTATATTAAATGGTAATTATTATATTAAATTAATTATTTTTATTTATATTACATGGTAAGCTCGGAAAAAACGTTGTGTGCTCAAATTAATTTGAAAATTTATTTTATAAACTAAAGCAGCTTAAATATGACGATTTAATTCTAATTTGATAAAATCTTTATGTTTAGAATTGAGTAGAAAATTGAAAACTTGATTAAAATGAATCAATAATTGTAAATATAAACCATTAGACTAGATTAAACAATGAAGTTAATTTGACTAACTCCGCTGCTTTGTATTTAAATTAGCTCAAGTTATTCAGCATCTTCCATTAAATTTTCCGATATATTTATAAATTTCCTCGCATTTCATTTTATAGAAGGCTTGCTTTCGAAATCAACTCGAGTTCAACTTACTATAAAATAATACCCAAAAGGCTTACGAAAATGTTCATGTCGGCTTTTCTTTTTGTTTTTGGTTTCATTTCCGGTTACGCTTTTGCTGTCCCTGCACTCGCCCAGCCGCATTAAGCATCCAATTACAAATCAGCCATAAAACATAATTGAAAGATCAAAAGCACAAAATAAGCCTGACATCTGTGTGCGTTTGTCTGTGTGTGTGTAAGCTCGTTGTGCGTGTGTAGTGTAGTTATTTGTGTCTGTAGT